ATACAATATTATCTCTTAATAGAATACTATATAGTGACACAAACTAGGAAAGTTATCTATGCGATGTTAATATTTTGAACTCTCAAGGAAAAGCATTATAGTAGTTTTTCACAAAGTGCTGCCACTTTTACTTAATTGACATTGAGGTCAATCGCCTTTTTCTCTCATCTCTGTAAACAATATGATGCAATCATTTACATGTTTCAGTGCACACACATAAAAAAATGAACCATGTGTAAGCTACATGGTTGGCCATCACAGTCCATTCCCAGTTTACTGGAAAGCAACTGTATGAAAGCCTTGGGAACAGTCGTGGTACTGCTCACAGATAGTTCATGAAAAGAAAGACTGGTTGACACACTTAGTGACACAGTGCTTGATGCACACTGTAAGCCTTAAGTAAATGTGGAGGCGATATAATAGAACAAAGTTTGTTCCCCATGGAAAGCAGCTGACCTGCTTTTTGAAACACTACCACAGACAGCTCTTTTAATAGAAATAATGGAACATTGTCATTTTAATAACAATAAAATGTTACTTTTTTGAAATACTGAAATTCTGATTTTTTTTCCCAAATGCTATGTATACTTATGTTAGAAATGTTTATGTCCATACCTGTAAGACACTAAATGAGATCAACAAATAGCATGATTTGCCTAAGATATGTTTTATTTTACCCATTTAAATCTCCAACTTAAGGTTATAAATAGCTTGAAGACATGTGCTAGGAAATTCTTGGAAACTTGCATCTACATAGAGGAATAGGGAAATCAAGAAAAACCTGAAGAGGTGCTTTATATAATGATACTCCAGAGAATATGTAAATTAAATAATAGTTTGTTATGCGCACTATTGTAAAAATTATTTGTAAAATTTCTAAATGCATTATTGTTTACGAATATATACTCCTAAATATATATACTAAATTTTAACACAATAATAATTTCCATATGTTATGTTTTTGTAAAAATTTACTATGTGTAAACCCTAGAGAGGAGAGTATTTTATTGTTAGTTTTATCAGTGTTGGAGACATAACAGAAAGATGTCTACACAGTCAGGTTGCTGTGAAGAAAAAAACTGTAAAGCTCTTATCTATTGTCAAAATGAACCACCTACTTTATATTCAAATTTTATGTATATTTATTAAATTATATTAATGAAAGCCATGGGGGGGGAAGATAATAAAGGTACATTTTATTTCCCTTTAATAAACCATAATATGCTTAGATTCTTGTATTTTCTGACATTTTTTCAAAAATTATATCCATTTCAGTCTGTTTAATTTTCATTCAAATGCCAATCCAAATAGCTACACATATAGTGATGTGTAACATTAATAAATTTAACATAATATTACACTTACACGGAATAATATATCTATTGTTGCATATTTTAAAACATACATCTGTGGAATAATAAATGTTATATGGTTAAGACAATGAAAACAAAATTAAAGATCTGAGAAAAGTTTATTAATGTTCACTGTTTCAGGTTTTATTCTACATTTAATATTTTATCTCATAATTGATCATATGGCACATTTCTTTGTGTATGTAAAATGTAAACAGAAACTGCTGACCTCAAGTGAGAATAATTATGTCACTTCTAATGCATGGAATAGATATCCATTACAATATCTTGACATACAAAATTTCTCCTTTATAGCCTTAAATACAAATTTCTCTAATAACAGAAAAAAAATTTATATCCTAAGTAATTAAACCCAAAAGTACTATTCGTTTATGAGATTTTATGCTTATTTCCTGTGGAGATCCATAATCCTTAGTTTTATGTTTATACCATTATACACTTTATATTAAAATCCCCGTATACCAATGGGCTCTCGGCCAATTATTGAAGACTGGCATTTTGATGTGACTAAGATAAAAGTTTAATATGAATAGTTATAACTATATATTTTTTTAGTTGCATTTGTAAATAGATTCTAAAATTAAGGACAAATTTAAATTAACATTATAATACTGGCTATCACACATGTAATTCTAAATTTTAAAATAGAAGTCTTTCAACATGTGCCAAGAAATTATTTCTAGAAAAAAGGACAACTACCCTTTTTGAAAGCTACGTTTTAAAAATACCAGCACATGTGCATACTATAGCATAAAAATGATATATTTTCCATTTATATATCAACCAATACACATTATGTGGCTGCTACCATATCACGTATTTATGTTTCACACCGTAGGGAGACAAACATTTCCAAAAGAAACACCTAACCCAGAGAAATAATTGTATCAAAATTTCCTTGCCTGAAAAACATCTATTTTAGTGTTAACTCTTAGAACAGGTTAACTACTACTTTAATCCCAAAAAAATTTATATTAGAATGTATGTTAAACCAGACAGCAAAAATTGAAAGAAGATACTTAGACTGACACATTATTTGTTTTACCATAATAGAATTTAAGCCCTTCATACAGATGTAAACACTCTACATTAAAAAAAAAACTCTGAATTACTAATTCTAATTGAAATCCAACACCAATTAGTGCATAATTAATTTTATAGTGTGTGATGGCATGCTCTTCCTCTTCAGATGATAAAAACTTCTTATACTTTTTCTCTGAAAAATAAAATTGGCAAAAAAACCCAAAAATATTTATTAATGATTCCCAGAGAAATTTATATACAGAAGCATAATGATTTGCCTTTAGTGACACTACAATCTTAGTACTCACTTTTCATAAATTTGAAGTTTCCCCAAAGATTTGAGATTTGTCCTGATTACACAGTGCATATGAATTCTTTTCTCTAAAGAAAAGCAAATGGCACCACATCTTCATGCAAAAAAATTGCATTTTTTTTGTTTCATAAAGTTTATTCAGAAATCTAACATGAAGTACAAATGTCAACCATCAGTTCTTTCCTCAGAAGACAGTGTTACTAACTTTTCAAATGAAAAACTGAAGATGCCGAAGGCTTCCAAAAAAATTGCTAAGATTACCTACAGGAGATTGACTTCGCTCCACAAAACCTTTCATTAAGTATTTCATTCATGAAATAATCAATGTCCTATATAATTTGAAAATATCTTGAATTTTCATTGTTAAGAAAATTTCAGATCCTTTCAAAGAAAAGAAATTGTGGTGTCCTACTTCCCATTTTAGCCCACTATTTATACTCTTTCCTGTCTAGTAAATTTCTGATCATGAAAATTGATTTACTTATAATTTTAGGAAAGCATTATTGCAGATGTTCTTCTTACAATAAGGATTTTTACATTAATATTTTACCATAGTATGTTGAGGAATAAAAGGTTGTATTTTGTTGCAGTTTTCTCCAATGGTATGATGATGTATCCCCTCCCATGACAAAAATATTGATAGATTGTCAGTTAAAAACAACAGTGTAAAAATGAGTAATAGGAACACATTTAGAAAGTGACTGTTTTTTAAAGAGCCACTTCTTTATTTGACACAGAATGCAAGCGACTCACTTGAGTTCTCACTTTACAGGCCAAGCAACAAAAAGGCTTAAAAAATTAAATGGAAGTGTGATGCCTTAACAAGAGTAAATAATTCTGAAGCACCCTTTAGGGTGATTCTTATTCTTTTTATGTTCAAAAATATCCGACTGGAACATCCTGCCAATTAAACGAAGATCTCCAGATGGCATTTACCCTTCTGCTTCATAACAAAAAGGATCTGCAATCAGTTTTATGAAAGATTACCTAAAGAGGAACATTACTGTAAATCAATGACAACAAAAATTAGACACTCCCCTTCTAAGGGATAGAATGTGCATCCTCCAGATTCTTGCACTGACACCTAACGTAATAAATACTTAAAACTGAATCTTAAATAATAGCCGCAGGGTTTCAACCGGTAAAGATTCACTGTTACTTTCCACCAAAAACTGTATTCAGCACTCAGCCAACAAAGGACAGCAAATAATTCCCAGCAGCATAAATACCGGGAAAGCTACCTTGGGCTTTGTTTTTGTTATGTAAAATGCATTAAAGTGACTCATGCACTTAAGATTACCTACCCTTAGAAGCTTTACAGAAGCTTCAAGAACCAAAATAAATGCTTTCCCAGAAAGCCGGGAAGGCTATTCGGTGCATTAAGAAATATGTATATATTTATATGTGCCACTGAGTTTGATTCTATTTTGCTGCCTAAGAGAGGAGAGAATTATTATTTTTCATTCCCTTCCTGTCGTGTGACTATAGCCACCTATAAGCCCTCTATTTCCAGAACAGCAGCGAAGTTTTTAAAAGTTATTTTAGAAATGTTAAAAATAAAAGAAAATTGCAGGAGACTGGAAACAGTCCCTCCTTCAAAGAACAGGCTTTATTCATTTGAAGAACAGGGACCGCGTGTCTGCCGACACTTAGATGTTTCAAAAAATGGGGTTGGGGAGGTTGGATCGCTCGGTCCCAGTACCTGCGAGCCCCCTGCGTGGACAGCACGCTCGGCCGCGGGGAGCCAGCACGCGTCTAACTGGAAGGCTGTCAAGTGCTTCCAGTAATGTGGGATAAAACGAGTTTGGGCACTACAGCAATTAAAGAGCATCTCGGAGGCCAAATGCGGGAGAAGTCCACGCTACCTCCGCAAGCCTGAAATTACCTATTTGTAAATTACCCAACCAAAACATAACTTTTTATTGAACTGGGTTGAATGAGAACGGGTGAGCTGGCTGGAAACTTTTTTCTCCAGTACGGCTGAACTCTGAAGTCTAGAGAATCCGGTTAGAGACTGGCTGAGACGCCGCAAGTCGTCGGCGGGCGCTTCCCGGGACAGCCGGCCCCCGTGCCCGGCCCCGCGGAGGCGCCCGAGACGCCGGCTCGGGGCGCATTCCAGCGGCGAGCGGCGCGCACCGCCCGCCCGGCCTCTCCGCATCCAAGCACGGCTCCCCGGCCGTTCGCTCCCCACCCCCACGGGCGGAAAAGCCCCGCGACTCGGGAACCGACCCCCACCCCAGACTCCCGCGGCGCCCCTCGGCCGGCGCTCCCTGCCCGGCCCGCCGACTTACGTGACGGCCGAAGGGAACGGCTCCTCCGACGAGGGGCCGATGAGCAAAGATTGGAAAAGTGTCAGAGTCAAGGCCAGCAGGCAGCCAGCAGCCATCTTCGCGATCGAAGATCAATGCCCCCTCCCTGCCCAAGCGGGGGAAGGAGCGGCGCTGGAAACCGCGGGCGGAGGAAGAGTAGCACACGCCGCCGGGACCGCGGGCGTCTGGAGGGCCGGCTGCGCCCGGGGCCCGAAGCGCGGAGCCGCGCGGAGGACGGCGAGGGCGGGAGCGGGCGACGGAGAAGGGGCGGTGGCGGGCGGACCCACTAGCGCGCGTCGGTTGCTCCGCGCCGCGGCCGCCTTGCCTCCGCCGCCATCAAGGGCGACTTTGGAAACAGACCTCGGCGAGCCCGCCGGCGCTCGCGCGCTCTCGCTCTCCCTCTCGGTTTCCTCCCTGATTTATTCCCCCGATTGCCGAGGCGAAGGCGGAGGCGGGGGCGGGGGCGGAGGAGGGGTGACGGCGCTGGAGGGTGGGGGTGGCTGCAGGAATGGGGGAATGGCAGGCAGAGAGACTTGTGGAAGCGAGAGGCTCCGTCTGGCTTCTCAGGCAAGTCAGAGGGAGGCGGCTGGGGGTGGGCAGCGGGAGGGCTGGGCGTCAGAGCAGTCGGGCGGAGACGGGCCGGGAGCAGCCCTCCATACAAGGCAGCCAGGAACTCCCAAAGTCGGCGCCGGCTCTCTCCCGCCGCCCGGCGTGCACAGGGGGAGCGGAGCAGCCCCGCGGGGCTCCCGGGGGACGGTCAGCCGCCCAGCGGGCATCCACAGGCTGCAGAGGCTGCAACCCAGGACTTGGCTCGCGTCTTCGGGGGTTATTTTTGCACATGCAGGCAGCGTTCCCCCCAGCCCTACTCCCAGGCGCAGAATCCACTGCCTGCCTAGGAATCGTGAAGTGATTTGACAACAAATGTAGGAGGGGTTTGTATTGCATTTTAAAGCACCACTGTTGACTCTACCAGGTGGCACTATATGCCCGCGTGTGCCATAGGTTATAGCCTCTGGCGGGGCCGGGTGTCCTTTGTGCCAGTGGCCCCACGCCCAGGTACTGCTCGGCTCACCTGGCCAGGACAGAGCCTCGGGCACCGGGCTGTGGACTGACAGAGAAGTACTGACACTGTAAAATCTTCCAGTCCTGTGGTTCCACTGGACAGAGGGGCGGAGGGACGAATTCTGCATCTAGGGAGGACAGTAGTAAAAGAAGGGCTTTGCAGCATCTCAGTTGGGACTGCCTCCAAAAGGGTCCTAATGCCCTGCTCTGGCCACTGGTCTGCCCGGCCTGACAAAGGTTACCGAAGGGTGAGCTCACTCTTGTCAATGCGAAGGCATGAAAAGGGTAAGCAGCAGGAACAGGTGGCACTCTGTGAAATGCGCCTGAAATGTAGAGGAGGAATTAAGGGAGGGGGAGAGAGCTAGGGAGTAGCAATGTCGGACTGGTTTTACCTCCAGACTCAGGAGAAGCAGTGGCGGACTTTCTCCTTGAAAAAACAAGGTCTGCGAATAGGCCTTTCCCGTCCAGCACAAGACTCCTATCCAAAGGGCCCCTGGTGGGCCAAAGGTGGAAATATATCCTTGCACACCTTAAATTCTTAAGCTCCCTCTAGTAGTGTATGAGAATACTTTTGACATGACGTGCAGAGAATACAATTTGTGATGACTATCCTGCATATGCAAAAATTCTGTTAAGTATCGGAGTGACTGTCAGATTTTTAATTAGCCCGTTCTTATTTCTAGGAGAAGCTTCTGAAAGAAAGAGACCCTTATTAATCGGAAATGGATTTTCCAGCTCTCTGAAGGCAATCTCCCAAAACAAAGACTGATAATACTAGTACTACTATTACTTACTGACCAGATTTTAAAAGCGTGTGTGATTTTATGATGCTTAGCATCGTGAATTGTTTTTCCTTCCTACTTATCTCTCCTTTTTTAATGCTTTATTTGTTTTCTTTATGTTCTCTGCATCTCTGTCTGGCTCTTTGTTTCTTTCTTTCTACTCTGAGTGGCCTCAACAAAAGGCACCCCACCGTGACTTAACTTAGTTTGTTTTATGCTAGGCATGGAGACTGTGGCAGCAGGAGCTGCGCAAATGAGGGATGAAGTGGGATGTAATGGGACTGAGAACTACAGCTCAGAAGGGATATTTTATATAACTGAAGATAGCATTCCACTCCAAAATTAGATAAGCAAATAGTCAAATTCATCATTTCTTCCATTTTTAATAATTCAAAAGCAGACATTCTTCCCCAGCATGAGGATGAAGAAGAGCAGAATTAGATGCCCATTATTGTCTATGTGATATGTTGGTATCATAATACGCTCACTACCTAAAAATATCATTATTATATATTCTGTCAATTATTTCAACATCAACTCCAGACTTCCCACTATGGTACACTGTTTCCAATTTTATATCTTTAGGAGAAAGGGCTTAAAGAATAAAAGAATGTAATAAGCTTGTAGAGAAGGTAAGTCAGCTTTTATTATTAACTTTGTTGGCCTTTGAGCCAAATCTCAATTTCTTTGGATCACTCTGATGAAGCACTGTGTTCTCCAATATGTGAAGCTGTTGAGGAAAGATATTGCTTCTACAATTCTTACTGAAAGGGTTGATTATCAACTGTGAGCCTACATCATTGTTTAAAACTCTGTTGTGAGGTTTGCTATTAATTGCTTTTTACCAATCTAAACCTTTTTATTGAGGATATTCAAAATGTGTGGGTTTTTTTAATGTATGACAGCTAAAAGAAGACCATTTCCATAACATAGCATTATGTTTCTGTTGGATTAACTATACCCATAACAGTGCATTTTTTCAGCTCAGTTCTGTTATTTCGGAAAATCCCCTTAAAATCAGATTTTATCCCATTAATCTTAATAAAATGTTGCTTAATCACGATAAATTTGCTATTCAACATAAAATGTTGACAGATCATAAGGATTGATGTTAAGCTGTTATAGTAAATGATGTAAATGTGCAGTAAATACAGTAAATATATTAGAGGTTATAAATGTGCAAGAAGTCACAAATCAATATCTACTATTCATTTAAAAAGAAATATTTTAATTAGAAAGTAAGTTAGTGAAGTATTGCAGGAGATTTTTGCATTTAATCATTTCTAGAACAAAGTTTAAAGAGATTTAATTCATGCAAATCACTGACCTTTACCTACAACAAACTTGAGATTAGCACCTTTTGGCTCAATCTCAATTGTTAATTCATATGTTTAATTTGTTCGTATGTATTTCATTTTTTAGTAACTAAGAGTAAATAAAAAACAATAAAAACCTGATTGCCATGAAATGTTTATTCTCCCTTATTTTAGGTGATACTATGATTATTGGCAGCATAAAATTATGTTTTTATTGTAGTTTTGTGTGAGTGTATGTACAAACATATTTTTCTGTGATTTTATTCAGTAAATCAAATCTAATTTCTTCAACATTTTGCCTGAGAAATTGAGACAAAGTAACCTAATTGAAGTTATTTTATCTTTCTCTCTCTTTTTTGTGCTCATGTACAAACAGACAAACCCAAACACTGAAAAGGAAAATAATTATCCATAGCCAAAAAAAAAAAATTAAAGGAAATAATTTTCATATTTTTTCCACATCTTAAGAAAACTAAGGTGAAAACCTTGACAAAGGGCCTTATTTGTTTGTATGCATATAGGTGTATATGACTCATCTCTGAGACAGACATACTGTTAAGAGTCATAATCAAGAAATCTTGTGATTTGAGATGGTACTATGCTTCCATGCACACAAAGATGTGTGCCAGAAAAAGCGAAAATTAAAGACAAATGGACATAAAGCGTCAACAATCTTACCTCTTTGGGGAATACTTTCAAGAGACAGGAATAAGAAAGAAAGCAATTCAGAAGTATCAATGCCCAGGAGAATGGTTAAGAGAGTGTGCAGTGATTTTTTAAGTCAAGAGTTTATGTTTGGCATTTTTAAAGTAAAGTGGCACATTGAAGCCTTCATAAAAAATAAAAAATAAGAAAAGCTTAGAAAAGAAACTATCCTAAACTAAGAAACAAGGTCAAATATTTTCTATGAACAAGACAACTATTTAGAAAAAAGTTTCCTTGACCCAAGTAATACAGCTATTGAGTGATAGGGCATTGAATTTCTGATGAAAGAAATACCTTTTCTAACGAGGCGCAAAGTAACATTAAACAAGTATTTATTGGAGGTTTATTATTTGTCCATCAGAATCCCCATATTGGCAAACTTATGCTAGTTTAAGTATTTAGAAAACAGTAGCTGTTATATTTTAAAATACCATCATGTCTTCAAGCAATAACTTCAATGTTACTTTATTTTGAATCTCTGCTAATCATAGAATTTTTCATTCGGTTTCTTTTTTATTTTACTCTTTCTCTCCTTTTTCCTCCATTAAACAAACACATTCAGAAAAAATCAGGACCTACAACATGACTTCCTAAAACAAAACAAAACAAAACTGTATTCATCTCTAAAATCTGAATTTCATAGCAAGATCTTTCTTCACTCCAGAGAGTTGCAGTTGTGGTTTTTTTGTTTTGTGACTGTGACAGCACAAAAGTATATGGAATCCATGTATGTAGGCCTACATAGACTAAGGGAAGTAGATAATTCGGTTATTTATCCAAATATTCACTAACAATGAAAATGTAATAGGAAGTAATTAATAAGCAGTAGATGGTAAAACCTGAAATAGGAACAACTAATAACTCTTTCCAGTTTTTTTAATTTTATGGATGCAGCCTGCCATGAGAGGGGAAGAGAAAGGTCATCTATTTATATTACTCTTCTGATACTAGGGGTTTCTGTTTTGTTTTTAGACAGGGTCTCACTCTTTCACCCAGGCTGGAGTGCAAATGGCGTGATCTCGGCTCACTGCAACCTTTGCCTTCCGGGTTCAAGTGATTATCATGCCTCAGCCTCCCAAGTAGCTGGAATTACAGGTGCCTGCCACAATACCTGGCTGATTTTTTATTTCTAGTAAAGATGGGGTTTCACCATGTTGATCAGGCTGGTCTCGAACTCCTGACGTCAAGTGATCCACCCACCTCAGCCTCCCAAAGTGCTGGAATTACAGGCGTGAGCCACTGCACCCAGCCAATACTAGGTTTTTTATATTCTTTAAACACAGTGAAACACCTTTGTAACCTAGCATTTTTCTATAAAATTTAGATATGTTTTGGATCAAATTGACTTCCTGAATAACATAACTCATTATAGTAGGCTACAGATAACATAGTCTATTAGATGGGTGTCCATAGAAGCACCATAACATGATGTTGCTAGGGGTTTCTTCCTCTGAAGTAATGAACATGGGAGAGAAAATAAGACAGCAGTCATTTTATTTTTCTAGCCACATGTTTTAGATTGATATTTAAATGCCTACCATTATCACAAAGAAT